GCTGGTCCTTTGCTGGTTTAAGATGGTCCTTTGCTGGTTTAAGCTGGTCCTTTGCTGGTTTATGCTGGTCCTTTGCTGGTTTGAGCTGGTCCTTTGTTGGTTTAAGCTGGTCCTTTGCTGGTTTATGCTGGTCCTTTGCTGGTTTGAGCTGGTCCTTTGTTGGTTTAAGCTGGTCCTTTGCTGGTTTATGCTGGTCCTTTGCTGGTTTGAGCTGGTCCTTTGTTGGTTTAAGCTGGTCCTTTGCTGGTTTATGCTGGTCCTTTGCTGGTTTGAGCTGGTCCTTTGCTGGTTTGAGCTGGTCCTTTGCTGGTTTGAGCTGGTCCTTTGCTGGTTTGAGCTGGTCCTTTGCTGGTTTGAGCTGGTCCTTTGCTGGTTTGAGCTGGTCCTTTGCTGGTTTGAGCTGGTCCTTTGCTGGTTTGAGCTGGTCCTTTGCTGGTTTGAGCTGGTCCTTTACTGGTTTATGCTGGTCCTTTGCTGGTTTGAGCTGGTCCTTTACTGGTTTATGCTGGTCCTTTGCTGGTTTGAGCTGGTCCTTTACTGGTTTATGCTGGTCCTTTGCTGGTTTATGCTGGTTTAAACTGGTCCTTTGCTGGTTTATGCTGGTCATGTGCTGGTCCTAAACTGGTCCGACCAGCTTAAGACCAGCATAAACCAGCAAATGACCAGCTTAAACCAGCAAAGGACCAGCTCAAACCAGCATCCCAGCTTCAAAACATACCTAACCAGCGTATGCTGTTTTTTTCAACAGGGTGAGCTGGTCTCCAGCCTGATCAGCTAAATAAGTCGACAAAACCCCTCTAACACCAGCCTGTTGACCAACTATGACCAGCCAACCACGAAAATAAACCATGGTTACTACAAATAAGTTTAAATAAATTTAAGCAGGGAGTCATTCATGAAAATGATTTTTATGCTGGTTTTCACTGTTAGTTCCCAACATAGCTACACTGTCAAGCTGATTTAGCAACAACAACCGAACTACTCCAGTGACGGAGCGATCCGGTTTATCCTCAGGAATGCACATGAACAAAGCTATGATGTTAGCCAAGGATTCATATAGTTAATTGTTATTAAAGGTGTTCATTTAAATATTTTCACTTTTAAAAACGCCTTGTCACATAAAGGCAAACTACTCACTGCAACGGTTTTGATAAAGTGGGTCACGAGCTTGAGTGTGTTCACTACAGCAGGTTCTTAGCTTGCTAACTGTTAGCCAAACGGCTAACAATACTACTATAATCACGATAGTGCAACAAATAACACTTTTTTATAAAACTGCAAGCATTAATTCAAGCATTGCAATTCATATAATCGGTCTTCATCTTTTAAGCTGGTTATCAACCAAATAATGAGTTTTGGTTTTCGGAAGTGAGCTAGCTAGCATGCTAACAGTCAGTCTTTGCAGCTGCACCAAATGCTATGCAGCAGCTCGGAATATTAAATGAAACTACGGGAGGCGGCGCAAACGACCACAAACAGATCTACAGAGATAAAATACAACAACGCCAGTTAATTGTCATAGTTACTGTAGCACGTCGTTGATATATATATTGATTTGAGGCTGCACAGGGCTGTACATACACCAGGATGGCCGAGTGGTTAAGGCGTTGGACTTAAGATCCAATGGACATTTGTCCGCGTGGGTTCGAACCCCACTCCTGGTAATGAGTTTTCTCTTTTACATCTATTATATTAGGATCGAAGATAAACGTGCACAACTGCAGTACATCACGTCAAATGAGAATATCAAACGATGCACAGAGAAGGAAAAACATTTGCTCGTTGAATGCAATGCTTTCAGTATGTAAAAGTGTTGATCAGCTCTGGATCGAGATGAAGGAAGATGAAGCGACTGCTGCTCACCATGACATAAAGTGCATAAAGTAGGACACAGCAGGACACACACTTGCCAGATGAAAGAACAAATAAGAAAACTTAAAAATGAGTCGATATGCTAAATATGTGGTCTTATACTGCCTCCTATAGGTAAATGAAAGCTAACATCTGTTAAATAATTCAAGATGTTAAAACAATATGTTTGACCAAAGGGTGAGGCCTGTGTAGGCATAACATGTTGTATCTTCTTTGGTCTGTAGTTATTTATATATTGCTTCTGAAATATGCTATTTTTATATATATAGCCTAGGCTACAGTTTACTAGAGTCGACATACACATATTGCATTTGGATTTCTTTTCAGTCTATCCTCCATCCAAATAAATGTGAACAACGCTCAGATCCTTCAAGTCCTGTAGGTTGTGAGGTGGAGCCTCCATGGTTTGCTGGTCCGGCACATCCAGTAGATGCTCACTCAAATGAAGATCTGGGGAATTTGAAGACCAATGCAACATCCCAAATTCTTTGACATGTTCCTCAAACCATCCCTGAACAAGTTTTGCAGTGTGGCAGGGTGCGAACACCATTGCTGTGAAGGGGAGGATGAGGTCTGCAACAGTCTTCAGGTAGGCGGTCAACACAGTAACATCCACATGAATGCAGGACCCAAGGTTTCCCAGCAGAACATTGGCCAGAGCATCACACTGCTTCCCATAGTGCATCCTGCTCCCATCTCTTCCCCAGGTAAAGAATGAACATTCACCTGGCCATCCACCTGATGTTAAAGAAAATGGGATTCATCAGACCAGGCAAAACCTTCTGCTGCTCCATGGTCCAGTTCTGACACTCACATTGGCCATTGTTGATGCTTTTGGGGATGGACAATCTGATGGTCTGATACAGAGAAGAAAACTGCAATGCGTCTATCCCTGAACAAGTTTTGCAGTGTGGCAGGGTGCGAACACCATTGCTGTGAAGGGGAGGATGAGGTCTGCAACAGTCTTCAGGTAGGCGGTCAACACAGTAACATCCACATGAATGCAGGACCCAAGGTTTCCCAGCAGAACATTGGCCAGAGCATCACACTGCTTCCCATAGTGCATCCTGCTCCCATCTCTTCCCCAGGTAAAGAATGAACATTCACCTGGCCATCCACCTGATGTTAAAGAAAATGGGATTCATCAGACCAGGCAAAACCTTCTGCTGACACTCACATTGGCCATTGTTGATGCTTTTGGGGATGGACAATCTGATGGTCTGATACAGAGAAGAAAACTGCAATGCGTCTATTATGGCCAGCATTATGTTTTTCAGTAATTTGAGCTACAGTAGCTATTCTCTGTGATCGGACCAGGCGGAATAGCATATGCTCCCCATGAAGTGCATCAATAATGAGCATTGGATGAACCTGTCCCCGGTTCAGTGGTTCTCCTTCCTTGCACCATTTTTAGTGGATGCTACCACTGCATACCTGAAACACCCTGCAAGACTTGCCATTTTGGAGATGCTCTGACCCAGCCATCTAACATCATCACTATCTGCCCCTTGTCAAAGTAACTCAGAACTTTTCGCTTGCCCATTGTCCCTTTCAGTTGAAGGCAAGGCAAGGCAAGTTTATTTATATAGCACATTTCATACACAATGGTAATTCAAAGTGCTTTACATAAAATAAATGAAAAAGAATAAAACACAACAATAAAACAGGACTCCGCATGTCATGGACATCCACTTAGACTTATGCTCTCCTATACTCACATAATATCCTCTCCCTTCTAAGTATGACCTGAACCATTTGAGTACCATCCCAGAAAGCCCGACCCAGTTTTCCAGTCTCTCTAGAAGTATGTTATGATCAACCGTTCACTTGCTGCCTAATAAAGCCGGCCGTTTGACAGGTGCAATGTAACGATATAATCACTAAACAACTAAAACCAGCCTAAGCTAGTTGGCTGGTCTTAGCTGGTCTCCCTGAGCAGCTAAGACTATCCTGACCAGCTAAAGTGGTTAATCCCCTCTAAAACCATATTGCAAACCAATTATGACTAGCTATGACCAGCTAAAACCAGAATCACTGAATATACTGTTTAGATATATTTTAGGCTATATAAAACACATTGAACCTTTATTTTAAATGTTAAACTTTCTAAAAAAAAAAGACATAGAGGTGGACAGTAGTGAAGTATTTTTTACTTTACTCCAGTACATGTAAAACGTATCTGTACTTAGAGTGTTTTTATTTGTAAAACCTTTACTTTACTACATTCCAAATCCAAACGTCGTACTTTTTTTTTTTTTTTTTACTGCACTACATTTTTTTTTTTAAGAACATTAAAAATGTAGTACTTTCTTGTAGGCTACTCAAGTAAATCTTACTTTTTAGTCAAAGTAAAAAAGTGCTAGGTTTCCAATGCAAGTATTAAATTATATTTAGCCTGATATGAAACGCAGTGCAGTAAAAGTGAGCCTGAAATACTAAGCTTTGGAGTGCTGTGAAGTAAAAGTTTCATTACGAAAAACACTCTAATAAAGTACACTTGATAAGTACTGAATACTTCCCTACTGTCCGCCCGTGCATACTCAAGACCCAAGCCTACAAAGCAGTACGTTCAGAAAAGTATATTCCAGAAGGGGACGCGCTCGTCATTCAAACCAACGCGAGCGTTTCCAGCGCGCGTCGACTCGTGACCTCACGCGTCCATCGCTCCCGCTGCGAGCGTGGGCGGAGCTGGGAAGCGTTGTAACTCTTTCTTTTGTTATTCATGAGCAAAGGAAACTTTGCGGCAGAGCTGAAACACTCCAGGAGCGCCGGAACAACCGCGTTGGGTAACTTCGATGCTTCTTGGATGGAGCTGTGAGTCTCCCGTCAGCGCATTGAGCAGAGCTCTGGAGCGCGAGCTTGTTGTGAACATGCCCTGAGAAGAGTCAATGATACATTATTTACTCAATGATAAACCCGCACTGTACTGCACTGAGAGATTCATCACACAAAGGTGAGAGCTGCTGCTTTTCAAATCACACTTACACATGTTTACAAAACTTTGCTATGTTTGTTGAATCATGAGCGCCTGAACCCGACTGACCAAATTAATTAAACAAGTTACACTTAACAAACAAACAAACAAACAGTAAGTACTGTCTGACTTCTGATTAGGCTACTAGAAGTTAGTTAGATGCATTATAAGTAACTCAAACTTGAGCTGATCTGGAATGGCAAGAGTTCGTTTAAGCTGTGGTTGAAGTTAGTAAAAGGTAGGGTAGGTTGGGTTTAGTTAGGGTCACATCTAGAGATGGTTGGGTTTAGTTAGAGTTAGGCTTGGGTAGGTTTAAGTAGGGTTTGAGTCATTGATAAGGTTGTTTGGGATTAGAGTCATTATCCCAGTTAATGACTATTAGGGTCAGTGTTATGTTTTTTTGAGGTTAGTTTGAGTTGTTGTTAGGGTCTGCAGACACGTTCATGAATTTGGATAAATGAGTTTATCGCCATTCTTTCTATTGACAGTTTAATCTAGTTTTTATACGCATACATGCACCAAAAACTTAATGCAAGAAGTTTTATTGTGAGATGGAAGCTGAGAAAATGGAAGCACAACGTTTTCTTTGCAGGAATCTAAATTAGACGCGTCATTCACTTTTGCTATTTGCTTATAAAGCTGAAGCCTTTAATGGACAAGACATGCTGTAAATTATTATCAGAGGGGGCTGTGTTTCTATTCTCTCCAGCGACTCTCAACATTACTAATCAATGGCGTCATCAGCCGGCCGTCGTGTCCATCAGCTGCTGAAGGGCTGCTTTGAGAGGTCTGGTGTTGGTGGACCTTATCAGTGAGCGTGTTTGAGGGCAGGAATGTGGGGGGAGCTGTGTGAGCAGAATGAATGCATGGTCACCTGTTTGGCTGGGTGACAACTCCACAATTAGCGTTGTGAGAATCAGAATTTGAATCAGTATAAAAAAAATTACAATTCAAATAAAAAATTTAACTTAAAATGGGCAATAGAATTGGTGAGAATCAGAAATAGAATGAGAAAGTTATAATCAGAATTTAAATGGACAGAATCAGAATGATAATAAGAAATATAATTGTGAGGATCAGAATTTGAATTGGTATAAAAATTACAATTCAAATTAAAAATTGAACTTATTATGGGCAATAGAATTGGTGAGAATCAGAAATAGAAGGAGAAAGATATAATCAGAATTTAAATGGTCAGAATCAGAATCAGAATGATAATAAGAAATAGAATTGTGAGGATCAGAATTTGAATCCATATAAAAATTACATTTGAAATCAGGAAGAAAAATGAGAATTATAGTATAAATTAATTTAACTTATAATCAGAATTTAAATTGGCATCAGAGTTAGAATCAAAATTACAGGCAAAACGCAATTCTTTAAAGTACATCAGAAATGGAATTAGAATTGATGAGAATCAGAATTTGAATCAGTGTAATAATGACGATTCAAATTAGAATTGAAGTTGGCTTCAGATTTACAATCAGAATGTTTTAATCAGAATTTTAATGATATCAGAAACGTAATCGGTCTGAATTTAAGTCGGTGTTAGTATTGCACTTCAATTCAGAATGGAATGTTTTTGAAGTAAAGAATGAAGCTGAGAACTCAAAGTAGTTTATATTTAAACAAGTTTTTCAATGACAAGATCTTGTCAGTGCTTGCTTTATTTATCTTGGGACTGCATTTGTAATGCAGTAGAATTCAACAACAGCCCCCTCCAGTCACATAGCTCCGGCTCACTCAGTCCACATTCACTCAGAGCCATTACATCCCTGCAGTTTACCGTGTGAGTTCTCCACAGATTCTCCGATTATCTTCACACCTCTTCCCGCTTTCTGAATGACCTAGAGGAGTTTATACGCCCATGTTGAAACAGTTTCATTTGATTCGAGAAGAACCAGCATGGCCTGTCCCTGCTTTCCAGCTTTCCCACAAAGCTTTGCAAGTGTTCGAAAAAGTAAGGTCACATGGTTGCTCTCTCTCTTGTGGTCTGTGTAAATGTTTCAGAGAGCAGCATGCACTGTGTAAGACAGTAAATGGACATTCATGGGATGGCCTACTACATTTCCTGAAATTAAAGGCACATTTTTTTTACAACAAATTGGACTGGATACCAAATTTGAATGCTGAATTAAACATGTAACATAATGAGGCCATGTGAGAGCTATCTATGAGTATTGCATTTCAGAGAGCTCAGGCTGATGGGATGATGTGCTCAATTGCAGGGATTTGCGGTGGGCTGTATATGTAAAAGAAAGCCGGATTTCTACTTCAGCGTGTCAGACGTACCCGTGACTCCTGGGAAGGAAGATGGCTACCGTGGGCACAGTGTCCGAGGCCTCTGAGGCCGGGGACAACAGCGAATTCACTGACATCATCAAATGGAGATCAGGTAAGCTTGAGATGACATGCGTTGCATCACAAGTGTTGAGCTGCTTTCTTGATGTTTCAAGGTTTGTTGGAAGTAGTGTGTCATTTTAGATTCTGACATTTATATTGTAAGAATTTTGGCATTTTTGACACTTTAAAAAAAATTTTTTTATATGGATTGACGAGAGAGGACAGAGGATCACTAGGTCAGGGATCAGGGAGTGTTGCATGCTGGATTTGAACCTTTGTCACCTGCATGAGTATCTTGGTGTGTTGAGCAATACTACTCCCTGAGTCCTGACTCTTATTTCAGTATGATTCTGACAGAACTGGTATCATAGATTAACTACCGTAACACTCCAAAGAGAAAGGAAAACTTGAAATCGCATCATATGACCCCTTTAAGGCCATTGCACACTGCGTCCGAAATTTTAGCACGTTGAAAAATAAATACAACCTCACACTGTGTCAATCAAGTTTACGCACTGCCTCCGAAACTTTCGTCCGTCATTAAAAAAAATTCAGATCGGGTTCGATTTTCTGGATTTTTCACATCCGTAGACAATTCAGAGTCACCGTACAAGCGAACGCCAAAATCCAGAATGGCGATTGTCAAGTTCATCCACTTCGTCTCGCAGCACAAAGCACTGTATATAGATCCTTGCACACTGAGTTCACAGAAATTGGTGGTCTTCTTTTTAATATGTGTCTCTAGCATCGCTGGCAAAGCATCAAACTGATCATTGACATCCTGAAGTAAACGTTGAATCGTCCGTGATAATCCCGCTGCTCCTTAATAAGGAGGAACTCTCCTTCCTCTCTGTATATCAGGATTGGATGGACCCAATATTTCCTTTCTTGTGCTCTTTTTAGGAAGCGAGAGGACAAAATCATCCTCACTGCTTGAAGACTCCATTTAGTACTGGTTTGCGAATTATTTTCACAATGTATTAATACGCATCGGACTCGGTGTGCAAGGTTTCTGTTCTGATTTTATAACTAGCAATTGCGAGAATGTCAGAATTGCGAGATATAAACTCTTGAGAGGAAAAAGTCACTGACTTCTGTCTTTTATATCCTGCAATTCTGATTCTATAACTAAATTTGCGAGAAAAAAGTCAGAATTGCGAGATATACATTTTTTAATTGAGAGAAAGTCAGAATTGTGCGATTATAAACTCAACTGAGAGGAAAAAGTTAGGATTGAGATATAAA